TATACTACTGTGTTGTTCAGGTGTCCACATACTCTTGGTCATATAGTATATATTGCCAAAGGTTGAAAAATGTTGAACTATAGTTTGTCATACTATGTTGTCCAGCCTTAGCAGGTAGTATGGATAGAGAGAGCGTGTGAAGGGATAGAGGAAAGAAAAGAGGGATGTATCCTGCTGGGTTACGACTCTGTGCTCTTTGAAGCAGCAGGAGCAGTGTTTGAGTTTAATCTCTCAGAGACAGAAGGACGATTCTGAGGAGCTCCAGCAGAGAGAGACCGGCAAGAGATCATGCACACAACACACGTACACACACACGCACACACACACAAACACACACACAAATACACACACCGTGCAGGAGTCTCAGGAGGAAATTTCACAGCCACACTATTCAGTCATCCTCAAACAACAAGCCACATCGCTGAACCGCTCCAGAATATTAACAGGATATATTTTGCCTTATTTTGGTACATAGTTCTCATGTCAATTCAAGTTTGGTCACTTTTCTTAGCTCATTCTCAAGGACATTTCTTTTTTACTAAATCTAACAAGCACAAAATTTCCATATATTCATATGTTATACATACATATATGTATAGATATGACAACATATTCACTGTTGTTGTGTCACTAAATACAAAAAACAAAAACTATTGGCACTAAGAGATTTTCATATATCAGCTATGATATAGATCCCATCAGGTATACATATACCTACTGCATAGTGTATACTCACTATGAAAGCACCAGACAATACACACAGCAATAATATACTTGTATGTGACATTCTGTGACATTCAATTCTGAATGATTATAGAAATAAATTCCCTCCCTCCTTTTGAAGCTGGCTGACAAACTGAAAACAAAGCATTAATGTTTTACAAATGAGCCCCTGGCCAAACCCCATCCCTAATACTGATTATTCAATCATAGCTTGGCAATAGTAACTAGGCCTGTGCACCTTGGATAAGCTATCCACCTTATTTTTCCCATGACCGCTGTATTTCGAGATTATGGCTGAAATATCTGGGAAACGGAAGTGTCATTTATTACTGTTTTAGCTAAGTTAAGGAATGTGTGCTTACTTGTTATCATTTTATGTCTCATTAACTGTCTCTGAACTGTTTCTGGGAGGTCATGCAGTTTGCAGCAGACACTACAGTCCAATTAATCTGAAACTATGACAAGAATGGGAATTTTGGCATAAACTTATAAAAAGTGCAGAACTTAAAGGACAGATGAACATGGCTTATAATCACTGCTTGAAAAAGCCAAAAACGTTGTTATCGTTGAAATGCGTTCACATAAAATCCAACCAGATGCAGAACTGCCAGTTGAACAACACAGAGCCTCAAGTGGTTTATTGCTTTTATAAACGGCAGCCAACATAAAATATGATAAAATACATAATTTTCAGTTAATAATTTAGGTTATTAATAATAATAATCAGCATAAACAAGTAATCTGTCAAGAAATGCAGTTCCTTTAGAGTATTTTTATCATTGCCAAGCGACCATGGACTGCTAAGGGACAAGAACATTTAATTGCTCATCATTGTATACTGTGGTAATTTCATGGACCTTCTAACTTTTTGTCATATAATAATGAACTTATCACAGTATAGCACTGTTTAATGAAAGCTGTTAATTTATAAGTACACTTTGGTCTTATTTAAGCTGTATTTACCACCAATTCAATGGCGCTTCCCTGATGAACTGCTGAATCTCAAAAGGCTGCCTGTTCCCTACATAGTGCACTATGTAGGAATTTAAATACTGGTTTCTGCTCCCCAGCAGTTCATAATAAAGCTAAAATAGTCATCTGGGATTCAGTCACATACATACTGGACAAACAGTGCACTATATACAGTAGCTAGAATTTCAAAACTTAGCTACATAGCTAGCACAGTATTTAGAGAGGACAGAGCTGTTTGAAATTCAGTCTGGATTTGATGCTAATTAAGACAGACCTGACTGAAAAATTGACATTTGAAGCACGTAAGACATTCAAGTGACATTCTTTAGTATTTTATGTTGACATTTTACAGTGAATCATAGCATAAGTTACTTTAATTCAAGCCTGTGATATTAATGAAGGAGTTGTTTATTATGTTTGCAATATTTTAGCCTGTTAGCTAGTTGACCAGTCCTTTTCTAGTTAAGAAATTAAGTTGTCAGTCCCTCAGTTTAAACAGAACTGGGTTCTTACTACATTGATATACCCTGTGGTCCATGCAAGCAGCATGTCAAAGATTATTTCCTTAACAGCACAATGATTGTTCAGGATGTGGTGCAGAAATACAGAATTCAGTTGCTGTGAGATGGTTATAGGTGTAGGTATACTGAGTAAGTGAATTAACAGATTTTTTACATTAAACAATCCAGTGTAATGGCATAGCTTTATGGTTTCATGCCTGTACTTACATTTTAAATGAAAAAGTTATTATTATCAGTGAGGGTAATTGCTGTAGGCTATAAATAGTATTCTCTGACTAAAGCGTTTCTATCAGGCAGCTTCAGGTTTCTTGACAGATCAATTACAAGGATTATTTACAATTTTATTCATTCCCATGTTATTTTTGCATTAGTTGTTATCATCTCACAAATGCAGAGAGTTTAGACTTTGCAGGAAGTGCTGTCCATAAGACACTCAAAGCATTGTGGGACATAAAAATAAAGTGGTTAAGTACAATTTGATGACACAAAAGGACAGGTATAGGATCTAGATTAAAAAGTGTGGAAGATTGCAATGCCAGTTAAGCCCACCAAAAACCACATGGAACACATACTTCTGTCAACTTCAAGTCCAACTTGCAAGCCTGGCTAGTTTTGTTACCTTACTGGATGTAGGGAGTTCAATTTAAAATGCATAAAATCATACTTTTACTTGTACCATGCATAATGCAGAATCATTTCCTTGTCGTTGACATAGACTGCAATCTTACATAGACTGCAATCTTACTTTTGCAATGTTTTCTGTAGCTTCCATTTTTTCCCATTTTTATTCCTTCAGGCTACTGGGAGCTCACAATGTTATTCAAATGCATGCTGGAGACCTCCAGTGCACTCCTTACCAAAATTCTGCATTGCAACAAAATTGGTAACACTTTATTTGGATAGCCCACTGTATATGTTTTGTATATTCTTATCTTGCATTTAACGTACAATCTGCTAATCTATCTATTAAATTATCTATTAAATTTACCTTCATTTACCCTAACTCTAATCTTAACCTCCACCCAAAACCTAAACCTAACCCTAGTACTAATCCTAACCCTGACCCTAACACAGGTGACAGTAACAGATCATTTGTAACTAAATGGAACATCTATGGGAAATCAATTAGGGACTAAGCAAATACAGTAAGACCCTAAAATTACCTGGAAAATGAGTGAATTGTTTGCTGTTGCCATTGAAAACTAGTTGACATGCTAGGTCCAAGACCTTGTCAGACATAGCAACAGTAACCAAGGGGACAGGACTTAGCGAAGGCTACTTTCTACCTTAGAAAAGAGTTTGGAAAGTTTTGTTAACAGCTGTTCACCCACTACTTCAGACTACACCTCTGGATCCTGTCATCTATATGATTAACTTTGTTTCCAGCACGCGCCCCATACTGTGCATACTTCCATGCTTAGACACTCCGCTGATTAAAACCTGCATTAAAAAGCTCCTTCCTCTGCCTCGGTCGCTATTTGAATTGATAATGGAGACAGCTGTGCTGACGGATCTATGAGTCATAGCGCCACTTCCTCGGCCTTATCGGATGGAGAGAATCTAATTCATAGTGGCACAAGCACAGTCAGGTGGCACTGCTTTTCATTCCCTCTCTCCCACCCTGAGCATGGCAGGACCACCACGGGCCACTGTCAATTTACCCCGTCCCCTACACAAATTAGACTTTTTCTAAGAGACAAAACATAGCAGGAGGGTGGCATAAAAAGGGGGAGGGTGGCATAAATGATTGTGCTAACAATCTCTCATACTGTTGCTGGTATAAGACAATCTCATCACACCATATTTTATAACACCACTTGAAGACGAAGACACCAGCTGCTCTTTACATTGTGTGAACATTTCATTGAGAATGGACCAATAAACTGTTCACAAAGGTACATTAATAGATGTTGAGTTTTTTTTCTTTTCCTAAGTTAATATTTTTGCGATACAAGGTTTTCTTATGACAGTAATAACACATCTGCTCATCCAATATTTCTTCTGAACTCAAGGCTATTAACAGGCTATTAACTCTTTGCTGCAGTAACAGCTTCTACTCTCTTCTGAAGGCTTTACACTAGATGTTGGAACATTGCTGCGAGGGTTTAACTGCATTCAGCCACAAGAGCATTAGTGAGGTCAAGAACTGATGTTGGATGATTAGTTCTGGATCACTCCAACTCATCCCAAAGGTAATGGATGTTGCTCCATCACTCTAAAGAATGCAGTTCCACTGTTCCACAGCTCAGTCCTGGAAGGCTTTACACCCCCCTAGCTGATGCTTGTTATTCGGTATGGTGACCTTAGGCACAAGAATGTCCCATTCTCTTCCATTCTATTAGCGATACTGTTCTATGGATATTATACAAGATTATAGTAGGAGTAGGAAACTTTTGACTTTTATAAAGCAGCTTTTTATAAAGACACCACAGCTAGAGTTATAATGATAATGTCAGTGATGCTAATGCAGGGGTGCTCAATCCTGATCCTGCAGATACTCCACCCTTGAGAGTTCAGATCCTACCCACTGCTCTGTAATACTTAGATGCTCCTGAAGAGATTCGTTATCTGGATCAGGTGTGTTAAATTAGAGTTAGATCTAAACTTTGCATGGTGGTAGAGCTCCAGGACCAGGACTGGTCACCCCTGATCTCAGAATCAGATTCAGAATCAGAATCACTTTATTTAACCAAGTATGTTTCATTCTGATGATTTCAATCCACCTTTTGAACACATAAATCCCACCGCTGCATATTTAATGTGTAAAAAACAGTTGGAACTCACCATATCTGTGTCTGAAACAGGCCCAAAACTGGTGACATAGATATCAGTCTTCACAGTGGTGACTCGATCTGAGAAAGAAGGTGGAGAGAAGGGGCAAAGGGAAGAGATATAAGCAAAGGAAGGAGAACAACAACACTTTAATAGTGCCATGAACATTTTATTGAAATGCAGCACTGAATATTTTAGAAATCCTTAATATCTCTTGCTTTGCTTGCTTTCACATGAAACATTCTGAAAGCACTTTTGTTACCCAAAAGAAGCTGATTTCATTTCTTGCCTACAGCTTGTACTCCTGCGTGAGATGAATGGATGTGTTGGAGTGCTTGTAAGTATACCTCAGTGCTGTCTTTTCCTGTCTCTGCTTTGTGTCTCAGCCATTGAACAGCTCTCTCTCAGCCTCCCTCCTATTTTTGTGTCTGTCACTAAACAGCTCTGTTCCTCTTTCTGTGTGTCTGACTGCGTGCATCCTTTTTTCTATCCCTCGCTCTTTTTCTCCTGCTTACGCATGGCTGACTCAGAAAGCTCTTTCTCACTTTTTGTTCTGTCCATCACTGGTGCTCAGAAATACTCGTGGATATTTAAGCGTCACTCATTATGCTACACAAAATGCTATCGAGAAAGACCACTGGGATGTCGATCTGGCCCACACTCGGCTGAACTGCAACACCACAGTAAAACCCTGGCACAGAACTGATTTATGCGCAAAGCAGTGTAGATCAAATGTACAGCTATACACATCCACTATAAATAGTGCGTAATACATTTTTCATTGCTTGTTTGTGTATGTGAGACATACAAACTACAAACAAGGAGGATGTTTAATCTAGTTTAAAAAGCCTGTAGCACGAAAAAAAAAAAGAAATTTCCTCACTTTTTAGAGATAGTATGTATACATGTTGAAGTATGGTTCATGCCTCAGTACATATAGCCCATATACGGAAACTAAGCATTTTAAGGTTATTGTTTTTGTGATGTCACATCTATCTGTCATTATACACACTGGCTTACAGCTGTTTAGGCCCTGCCCATTAAGGCTGAAGATATAGGGAATGTTTCAGCCTGGATTGCTTTTTGAAAGAGGAGCAATACAGCACAGCCAATCAGAACAGAGGTGATTTACAAATGTCAGCTTATAAAAGGCACAGTTTAAGTGTAAAGGATAAAGAGAAGTTTGAAAATGGACATGTAAAAATGAATTATGGCCAAAAACACCATACAGTTTCATAAGAAGACCTCAGAATGGTAAAACATGGTTTATCATATTATAACATGAAAGGAGAATTCTACCACTTTTTCAAAATTTTTGCATAATTCATTGGCTGACATGCAAACAAAGCCATTCAGAGTGTTTTGATGTGAAATGGTTTATTTTACAAAAGCTTACAGTCTCAAATTTCAAATTGGTGGTGATAGAAACAACCTTTTTATGTACTAAAACCATAAGCAAATATGTCTTTTTAGTTGTCAAATGTAGTGTAAACAATGGTAAAATAGTGGTAAGTCTGAAAAAAGCACAATGTACCTCTCCGCTGAATATGTTTTTTTTTAAAAATGCATTTTTTGCCAAAACCTTAATCTCAAGACTCTTATAAAGCAATGTCTCTGCATCAGGCAGTGCATTCATAACCTTTTTATGTAAGAAGCTATATTCTTGAAACCTCTGGTTTCTATCAACACCATTTTGAACAATTCTGACTTGGTTTCTCTAGAGCAGAGAATTTAATGGAGCAACCACTCTGAATGACTTTGAATGAAATTCTCTTTAACGTTAAAGCTCAACTCTGCACCAGCTAAGCTATATTTCCATTGTATTTTCATCATAAATGAGTGTGTTTTATGGAACGTCTTCCATATATCCTTAAAAATAATCAACGGAACATGGAAATAATTACATTGCATTGAGTATATCTGATGAGCATATGGAAGCTTAAACACAAAGCAAGTGCCCTGCAGTGATTAGCAGTAATTTACTGTTTAAAATTGAAGAGTGCATTCAGAGCCCCAGGATGCTGGTCTGGTTTATTAACAGATTTGTATTGTAGGTTGGTTTATTCATCTCAGTGGGAGCATTGGAGGCAGCTCTCAAAAACCTTGATGCCTTGATGTTTTTTTCCCCCTTTCCCCCTCTCTCAAGACGCTTTTTTACATTCAAGTGCTTTAAAAAACAGTTCAATAGAATCCCATCACAGAGCGCTGCTGGAGATTCCAAGGTCAAATTACACATATACAGAGCCTTTCTTCATGTAATGACCTCATATATCCTATACATTCTGCACAAAGGAAGAAATTATGAGAAAATATATCTGATGATCTGGGGCAGAAAGGGATTAAATTATTACACTGCATCTTTTGAGTTAACTTAACCTGAGGGCACTAGAGTTAAAAAAAATATCCTAACATTTGCTAGCACTGCCGTCTCTGTTAAGTAAACCATACAGAATACACACACATACTTTCCAAACCGCTTATCCTTCTGGGTCGCGGGGAAAGCTGGAGCCTATCCCAGTGGTCATTGGGTGGAAGGCAAAATACACCCTGGACAGGTCGCCAGTCCATCACAGGGCCGATATTTTTCAATTTTCATTCAGTTTTTCATTCAGTTTCCCTAACAGGTGGGACTCTTTCCATCACATGATGCCACCAGGGCATTTCTGGGCTCCTAGCTGAGAACAGCTGTGCCATCACCAGGGTTTGAACCCACATCTCCTGGAGCAAGAGATGAGATGGGTAATCTTGAACATGCATAAGCGTCCAAAAATGTTTAATACATTGTAAAAAAAATGTTTTTTTGTTAAGTTGTTGCTCATTTAAACTATAGTTAAAGTTTACTGAGCATCAGGTCATAAATTTATATAACAATGTACTATTTGGTGTTAAATTAACTCAAAATTTTAGGTCACACACTAATAGATTTAAGTTAAACCTTGGATATTTAAGTTTTTTTTAACAAAGTAGATGAACTAAAATAAACATTGTACCCCAATATTTTCAGGTACTGTTCAAGTAATAAAAAAAAAACTCTACATAAGTCAAATAGGTCAAATTTAAGTTGGATTTTCTAGATTGTACAAAATATCAAGAGTACACAAACTTTTTTCCCATTAGTTTTTTTGTATACTGCTGTATTTCTATTTATGTACACTGGCACCACCAGAATTTTTTTACATTGTTTTATTCACAATGGAAATTAAAACACAATCTAAGTAAAACAACCAGCATTTTTAAAGTTTTTTACTCATCATTTATTATTTTATCTTGTAACAAATCTAGCCTGAATTGCTAAAGAACTGCATGTGGCGCTGCATAATGTAAAGCAAAAATAAGGAGAACGTGTGATCACAACAGCAGCCGCACCAAGGCTGACATTAACATATGAAGTAGCTAACTGTTATACAGAATTGTACAACTAGTAAAAATACTATATAATAATAAGTCCTGCATTTTAAATAGACTAATTCTGCTTACATTTGCACTGTAAATGATATTTCAGTTTCTAAGTTTAAAACAACTGTCGTTTTGTATGTCATATGCTTCTTGCTGTAGGGCAGCAAAGTGTCTGTTTGAGCAGTTTGAGCATGGTACTTTAAGTGAAGCACTTCAATTAAAATAGCTTATTATCATCCAGCTCAGTATTTTAAAGAAGAAAAAAATTGATGGGTATCTGTATGAGCTGATACTGAAGGTTTCAGTAATAGTATCAGTATTGAAAAAAGCGAAAGTGGTATTATACTCCATCTACTGCTTTATTTACTGCTACATACATAACAGTGCAATGGGAAGGACGGAAATGAGTATAGTCAATTATTCATCAAGATGTACTCAGGAGCATTAATTTCCTGTTATGACTATTTTCCCTATTTCGTTGCAGCACTTAAGTCAGCTATTTTTTTTTTTTTTTGCTACTGTAATTCTAAACCAAAATCACATTCACTGATGAAGCAGTCAAAATGACTATTCATCATGATTTACATACTTGTGAAATTAGACTGGCCAGGCAAGCAAGAGGAAAAATATTAATAGGGTGTGGTTGTGGTTGTATTATTTCTTCAATATCACGTTCTTCTGTGACATAAACAAACTGGTAACAAGAACCAATTGAGCTATGTTGAGCTACAGAGCTACAGAGCTAGGCTGCCCACAGCCATGTCCTCCACCTGCTGCACGCCTGACAGATCCATCCTGTTGTTAGTTGTGGAGTGTGTGTGGCTGAATGTTAAGTGGCTGGGCCCTTTGCAAAGAAAGCCAAAGCGCAGGGGAGGGAGGGAGGGAGGGAGAGAGGGAGAGAGAGAGAGAGAGAGAGAGAGAGAGAGAGAGAGAGAGCACTTTAGATTGAGGCTCTTCCCAGGTGTAGCTTGTTTGTATGGAGGATGGCCTCCTGGGAATTCCTCTGCACTGGACCTGCTCTCTTATAGATGAGATGTTCACATATTCAGCAGACGGCTCTGCTAGCCAGCACACTGACTCTGACAGGTTGACACTGGGGGTGCCCACCTCTCACTTACTCACAATTTTTCTGCTTCTTATTTGTTTCTTATTTAACCATCTCTCTCTCTCTCTCTCTGTCCCTCTCCCTCCTTCTCTCTTTATGTATTGCTGCTGTGCAACATGTACACATGTATCTCCATATTTCTGTTTTTTTATCATTTGAACACAGCAATGTTTTTACATTGTGTGAAACATATTGATGAATGGACCAGTAGAAATACTCCAAAATCCCTTGAAATAATATCTCTGTACATTAACTGACATTAAAAGTAAAGGATATTTTTGCCTTATACCTTAAAGTATGCAAAATGGTAACGTTACAGGAGAGGGAAAAACATACCTTACATTTTAAGTCACTATAATTTTGAACCATCTTCTATTCTATTCATCATGAAATTTACACACAATGTAAAGGGCAACTGTCATGTTCAGGTTTTGTTGTGACAGTGACAATATGTACAAAGATGCATTGAAATAAAAATTCTTGGTCAAAGCTGAAACTGAAATTCAAAATCCACTCAGTTGAAAACCAACACCTAAAATTACATTTTTGTTATTATTTTATGATTATATTGATATATTA